TATAAGTGATAAAATTTAAAAAATATATTTATATTTTAAAATTATTTTTTATTTCATTTAAAAATTATTATTATTATTATATATAAATTAAATGTTTGGTAGGGGACCGTGGGCCAGGTGACCCCTCCCCCTTAAATCCGCCTATGCTTTTCTATTCAGCGTTGAGCCTACTAGTGGTTGAACTTTAATTAGTATGTTCGAGAACAATTCAAATTTCTAACTTCAATTCTTTAGATCTTTTAAAATATATTATTAAAATACGTTAAAGATTCAAAATTGAAGATTTGAATTGTTCTCCCAACTCAATGACTAAGATAGGAGAAGTTTCCACAAGAAACTTGAGAAATATATCACAAAAAGAAGAAGTTTTCACGATGATGGTATGTTGGCGACTAAATTCAGAAAAGAAAAACTTTCGTCGGTCTTTTTCATCGATAGTTTCGCAACAGAAAATGTAGAAACATTTCACAATTAACATTAACTCAGGTTACGAAGTATGCATTTTAATATCCATCTTCTAAAGGACTTCTTGGAGCATTGTATGTAGCACTTGCTGTAATTACACTTCCATCGTGAGCCAAAAAACGCAAACTTGGACAACACGTTTAAGTATCAAACGTACACATTAATGAGTGCAAAATTGTCAGAACCAGAGTGGTGACACAATCAGACATTAATAAAAGAAACTACAGTGACGTACCTTAAGTGACCATGCAAAACGTTTGATCGTTAACTGTTCCAAGTGGATGCCATGGCAAGTAAAAGAAGTGTAAGAGTGTATGAGAGAGAAGGGGACGCGGTTCCAGTTCCACAGACACACACACTACGTTGCTGTGAAGTGTTAATATATAATTAAGGGCTGAAAAGATAGAGACTAGTGGATTATGACGATAATGATATTGATCACCCGGTTTCGATAAGTCCCATATTCCATCACCATCCATGAAGGATAATTCAACATAATATTCCAATTTGATTCTCAGTGTCAGGCGGCTAATACAGCAACACTTAGAAGAATCCATCTGCATGCTAACAATTACGATATAATCTTACTCATCCCATGCAATGTCATTTCTAACACAATTTTATAGATTACAATGAACGTTAGAGAGAGATATGTTGAGAAAGAGACACACGAAAAATTACATTAACTAGTCTTAATAATATATATGATGGCAGAAGAGACGGTGACATGGGATTATGCTTTAAAAGATACGAATTTCCCCTGATTGCATGCTGTCTAGGGAGCACCATCTGTTAACGGCGGAACTTCCGATGATTGTTGTTAAATTGGATTGGAACGGTTTCTTGTATTGATGATATTGCGTTTTTGAGAAGATTTATTGGGAGAAAATTACACTAATAAAATATAAGTCTAATTAAATAATGGATACTTTTCTCGATTCAAAACCTTACTTTTCTCGTTCTTATTTCATTTACTACTTAACTTTGGATTATTGAATTGTTTGAGAATTCATGCATGTTACAAAATCCAAAATAACACTACATATCTCATTTATTATTTCTGGTTGTTGATTGTTTGAGTATTATGTGCTATTTTCTTCCTACTTTTATTTTTTATTTGTTTCTTCTATATCATACGTATTGTGAAAAAAAAATGGAAAGTGACTTATTTATTTACTTATCTTAATGGATTGTAATTTATATTTTTTTCTTATTCATACTGTTTATGTTTTCTCTATTTTTTATATCTATTTTATTATATTAATTCTAATATAATATTATAATTTAGTTTAAATAATTATTGAATATTTTTTAAATTATTTAAATTAAATTTATGAATATATTTCAAATTATTTTGTATTTTGAAATTACTTATAAGTAATTATAGAAAAAAAATATGAAAAAAAAATTGATAGTGAAAGAAAATTTGACTAATAGGTAAGTGTAAATATGACATCCTTATGTATAAATATATTAACATTTTTTTAATTCAATAAGGCAAAGAATAGCTCAGTCCATTGACCAAATATAAGGGAGGACTAAGTTAAAAATTTTGGTTCGTTTTAAAATATAGGTCGGGTTGAACTATCAATTTTTTTTAATTCGTCCACATCATCAGGACAGACTAGGTGAACTGCTCATTTTGACATATATAGTGATTAACACCAAAATAAGGGAAAAATTAAGCCATGCATGATTCTTACATTCTTTTTTTCGTTAGAACAAGGAAGAGAAAGAAAAGAAAAAAAAAGGAATAAAATGAGTTGAACATAAATGCTTTTTGCACTTTTATAATGTTCAATTTGTATTTTTTTTATTTTTTATTTTATGGATTTAATCATGTGATTTAAAAATTCTTATTATCTAGATTCTATGGGACCATTGAGTCTCTTTAATCCCTTTTTAGTATGTTGAAGGTGAAGGTAGGGGAGCAACACCTATGAAAGATTTTTCAATGTTTAAGTCAATATAAAAATAAGTGAAAAGAATAATAATGGCATAATGAAAGAGATACAAAACCTTTTATAAAATAATATTAGGATTGTAATCACCTGAAAATCACAAGATATTTCATCCTTATTTTATCGGGTATGTCCTAAATATCTCGGGTAGTTTCGAGTATCACGAATAATGTAGGGAGACTTGTTCGAATATCTCGATCCCTTGTGTTATGTCCTTTTTTAGAGAGCAGATGTTGATTCACATCTCGTGATGTGCATCCAATCAGTAGTAGCTCAAATGACACTAAGAGTTTGAAACGAACCTCATCTTCATATGAAAAAGTCAAGGTCACTTCCATTGTTGTTCTAGTGGTTGCTTTGATGTCCCAACAGCATAAAGTGGATCCCCTCAAACAAGTTGTTAAGGTTCAAAAGGGAGAAATGGGAGACAAGAGTGGTGTTGCTTTTTCTAACCGTAAAGATAACTTTTCTCCTATTTCCAACTTTGAGTTCTATTGGGTATTGAATGAGGTTCATCATTATGCTTTTGAGTTTAGATGGTCCTTGTCTATGTCCATTTGATGGTCCTTACTCCGTGCTCCCCTAATGATAGAGTTTATATAAAGCCTCCTATGGATGGAGATGATTTCATTTTCGTATGAGTGTTTCTTTAAGGAGTTAAATATCTTTCATTGAGTTTGAATGCGATATGTTGTTTATCCTTCAAATTCCCCCTAACCAATTGCATCCTAACAACTATCATTTTTTATATCCTTCAAGATGTTGTGTTTCTTTATGCGTTTAAAGGCATTAATTAATGTGTTCATGTATTTTTATCAACTGAAGTACATTTCAGAAGTCAGTCAGGTTTCTCTGAACAAATCTTAACATGGTCGGGTTTCAAAAAATTTAAAACTCACTTTTTCTGACTTAAGTGCAACTCGAATGATCCAACCAAGTTGTTGTTCTATCATCCTAACAATTCTCTTCATTTTTTGCTTCATTAGTATACTCATGTGAAATTTAAGTCATGAGTTAATAATTATTGTCCGTTGAGGACAAACTAATGATAATGGTACAAAAGGACTTACCTTGTTTTATTAGTTGTAAGGATTTGTTGTTCACACCTTATGTCGAGGATCAAATAACTCAATTTAATGGTAATGAATTATCGAAATGGGCTTTCTGCTTACAACTTTTGTGTTATTTCTAATGTTTGTGTTTCTTCTTGCAAAAATTATGGGGAGTTCATTTGACTACCAAAAGATTCGTGACAAGTTGGGTGTCACACCCATGTTATATAAGCCAAGGCTTTCTCCCATCAAAGTAGTTAGACCTAACCCTATGCCCTCGATTAAGAAATTGTACAAGAAGGTAAAATAGGTGTTGCCGCCATCAGAAGAGGCGGTCGGAGCGACACGATGATTTTGAATGACTCGTGTTTTTCATAAAGATGGTCGACATTCTTAAGATGACCGATAACCGAACTGATCTTAAGAATGAAGTTTTTGAAAAAAGGTTCTATGGAGTCGTCACCAATGTTTTAACCTTAAACACTGAAAAAGGGAAAAAGACATTGGTTTTATAAAAAACCAACTTTGGCCATTATAACCAGAGTCGGGTAAGGGAGTTAGTTATGTGTGGGGAAGGTGTTAGCACCCTACAACGTCCCTTTCGCGTTCCCTATGATGGACTAGTTTATAAAATAAAGAACTAGAAGAAAATATGCTTTTACCCTATTTATTTATCTACTTGCAGAATTTAAATGTCTACATGACCCTAATATCTAATGCATATAAGGAAAACGATAAAGAAAGCAGTAAAAGAGAGGGAGAATAGGGAAGGAACCTCTGAAGCGAGCTTTATATTAACTCTTCGAAACTTGAAGATGCTTTTTGGCAGTCCCTGCACTCTACAAGTACGCTCCTCCCGCAAAAAAGAAAATTTCACTCTATCGAGGGTTGCATGTCTCAAAGAGAGACCTCCTTAACCGATTTCTACCTTAACGAAAATTGAAAAGCTCACTCAAACTCCAGAATAATGCTCAGAGTCACTCTAAAGTGCCAAAAGGCTTCCTAGAGAGTAGTAGGAGTGAATAGTAGTGTGAAAAATGAGAAATGAGACTCCTATTTATAGGAAATCGTGCCAGGAAAAGTGGACGGTCGTTTGGGCTTAGTGGACGACCGTCAATGGCAAAAAATGATCATGGACGGTCGTTTATGTAAAGTGGACGGCCATCCATGGCTAAAAGTTGCAATGGACGGTCGTCTAGGCTAAGTGGACGGTCGTCCATTGCCTTAAAGTAGGCATGAACGACCGTCTGACTATCCTGGATGACCATATGTTGTTCCTGACAAAATTTTCGATTGTTATTGCCTCTTTAAAACTCTTTTTATCTTAAATGGAGCCTAGAAAAAGCTACTAGGGACTTAACAAAGTTTTGACCATCTTCGAAACAGGTGATTTCTGGATTTATTAGGAAGTCGAACAAGATTTGGGGTCTACAATAGGTAGCTCCCAAAAGCTTTTCTTGCCCGTGGTTGTAACCATTTTTTAGGAGCTAGATACCAAACATATTGAATTGACAAGAGTGTATTATGTTAAACTGAGATCTAAGGTAGCATCAACTGTGCCCCGATTTACCCCTTCTAATTTCATTTTCACAGCGATGGAACCCTGAATTGTGTGGATCATGTCTCAATTGTAAACCTTGAGGTTAAATTGTTATGACATGTGTAAACATAGACTCTAAGGGTGAAGTGGGGAAGAACTTTGTGTTTGCCTTTTATGTTAGTCTATTGGACCAAGTGAGGACATTTGGATGTCTTGATTCGGCCAAGGTGATACCGATCAAGTCTTGACAATATTGTGCCATTGGAGGGAAGTTAGCCAAGAGGAGAGAAGTAAGGAGGCCACCAAGGTTAAACAGTTGGAGAACACGATAACTGATTTGACTAAGCAGAGGGTCATTCTTCAAAATCAACTTGCCAATCATGCCATTACCCTATTTTCCAAGGTCATTCAACTCTTTAACATGGGGAAAGCCTTAAAGAAGGTCGAAACTCACAAAAAGCGACAATTAGAGGAGGCTAACTTACATAGAGTCGAGGTAAAGAAGATGGTGGCCAAGCTTCCTAATTTAAAAACGGCTATGGTTGAGCTCTAAAAGGAAAACAAGAAATTGAAGCACCAAGTTGGTAAGTTGGGGAAGGATAAGAAGTTTGTTGAGGAGTTAGAGATCGGGTTTCAGACTATTGAGACACAACTCCTTAGTGTATAGTGATAATCCCATAATATGTCAGGAATTTCTTTTGTTTGCAATCATTTTTCCTGGTTGAACTTCTTTTTAGCTCGTTATTAATAACTTTATTGGTAGCTTCGACTTGACCATTCGCTTGCGGATGTTCAACTGATGTGACTCTATGTTTGACGCTGAGTTCTTGTAGGAACTACTCGAACCCTTTATCGATAAATTGTCTCTCATCATTAGTTATTATGATGTATGGAAGACCATGTCACCAAATTATATTTTTTTCATGTGAATTTATACACTTGTTAGGTTGTTATCGTCATCGATGGCTTGGCTTTGATCCATTTTGTAAAATAGTTTATTACGACAATTAGAAATTTGACTTGTTCTTTAGTAATGGGAAAGGTCTGAGTATGCCCATTCCCTAAGATGTATAAGGCCATGGTGTTGTGTTATTGCGTAATTCTTCTGGTGCATTCTAGAAAGTGGGTCATGTTGTTGACATGTTTCACATTTTTTAACAAATAGTCAAATGTTTGTCTGTAGGATAGGTTAATAATAACCTACTTGAAGTATCTTGTGACCATTGTTGTAGTTCCCAGGGCGTAATCCACACATATTGTTATGGATTTCTACCATGACGTATTGTTATTTTAGAAGTTAGGTCAAGTATCCTCTCTTAAAGAACTCACCATTATGCAACATGTATTAAGCATACATCCTTCTTGTTTCTGTGCTTCTATCTTATCCTGAAGGAGTATGTTATATGTGCATTTATGATTTTTCCCTCCCCTTTTCAAAATTAATGATCATTAAAATACTCTATTTATATATTTATAATTTTGATCTTTTACCTTTTCATATTCTTTCATCTTTTCATTTTCATTTATTATTTATTAATAATATATATTATTTGACCTCCTAAAATAAATGGTCAAGATCCATCACTGATTGGCGTCATCTATGTTGGCTAAGTTATATAAACTTAAAGAACATCCTTGTGGTCCCAACTTGAGGTAGTTAATGTTTCTTGTATTAGTGTTCAATGTTGTTCGGATTTCTTAATATTGGCTAACTTCGACAACATGTTTACTTACTCATTTTGTTCTCTAGGTACATGAGTGATTTTCGTTTTCTCAAAATCATTTAGCAGCTCACTATGCGGTAATATTTTTGCATGGCAAGTTTCCTAGTTTGGAAATCTCCCAGGCTTTGTCTAATGACTAACTTTGAGTCACTTTGGCAGCATAAATACTTTCATCTCCTTATCAAGCTTTAATTCGGCATTAAGAGCTTCATACTTGTCTTGATTGTTGGGATTAGGGAACTCAAATTAAAGAGCTTGCTCCAGCATAACATCATTAAGACCCTCGAGTAATATCTCTACTTCACTTCCTCTCTTGTTAGGCGATTCGTCTATACTTAAAGTCCACCCATCATACCTTTCTCCTAGTAGGGATAATTCCACTAGGATATCTGCTAAAAATTGGGCTTTCATCAGCCTTTGACTTTCAAAACGCAGGTCAAACTCGGAGAGCTCCACTGACCATGCAATCATTTGTTTGATGATTTTGATCTTTTATAATATTTGCCCAAATGGATAATATGTTTTAACTATTATGCTAAAGCTTTAAATATATGGTCGGGATCATTGTTACTAATGTTAAAACTAGCTTTTTTATGGTAAAGTAGCATCTTTCTAGTGCTTATAATACTCAACTAGGGAAGTAGACCAGAGTTTGTTTCCTATCATTGTAGTGCACGAGAACCAAACTTATGACTGATTCATACACTTCTAGGTAAAGATGGAGGATGGAGCCCGATGAGGAGCTTATTAAAGTTGATAAGGACGTGATATCTTTTTTTATAACCAAGACATGTTTTCACACTTTTTCGTTCACTTGAAGGCTTTGGAATTTTTTAACAATTTGAAAAAGGGTTTGGCTTTTTCGGTAAGTTTGGGTAAGAATTGCACCAACATTGTGAGCTCTTCATTTAATCGTTGTACATCTTTTAAGCTCCAAGGACTTTACATGATAAGGATGGTGTTGCACTTATCAGGTTTGCTTCAATGTCACATTGGGTAATCATGAAACCTAAGAACTTGCCTCCTTAAACGCTAAATACACATTTATTGGGATTAAGATGCATATTATATATTCATATTTCGTTGAATACTCATTATATGTGGGTGGGGTGGCCAGCTTGGTGTTTTAGTTTGATCACCATGTCATCTATATAAACTTATATGATGTCTCCGATAAGCTTTTTGAGTATTTGATCCATCAATCGCTAGTAAGTGGCCCCTACATTCTTTAACCCAAATGACACAACTTTTTAGCAATAGTTTGCGTCTTTCATGATAAAGGTTGTGTTTTCCTCGTCCGGCAGGTAAATCCTTATCCGATTGTACTCGAAATAAGCGTCTAGAAAGCTTAGCAAGCTTTGCTAGGATGTGTTGTCAACTAGTCTATCTATGCTCGGCAAGGGGTATGATTTCTTTGGCCACGTTTTTATTAAGGTTTGTGTAATTGATGCACATTCTCCATTTTTCGCTCACTTTTTTTACTAAAACTATGTTCGTCAACCATGTAGTATATGGTACTTCTCAGATCAAGTGGGCTTGCAATAACTTGTCGACTTCTTGTTCTATAACTTGTCTCTCCTAACTTACGTTTTCATTAGGCTAAAGGTTTAACCTCAAGTAAAATTGATAATTTGTGTGAGACGATGTTAGGACAATAATTAACATGTTGGTCGTATTCCATATAAATAAATCGGCATTTTTTAGTAGGACTTCCTCGATTTTCTTATAAATGGTTATGTATATGGCGTGTCTGACGTGTGTGACTTGAGATGTGTCTTTTCCAATTTGAAAATTTGATATTTTTTCGTTAAAAGTGGGTTGTGTCCCATATGCTTTTATTTTTGGATCGAGATAAAGCTACTCCATGTTATTTTGCTGGTGGACTTATACTTGGGTATTATCTTTACAACTTCTCACCACTGAGTATGATTCTACTTGAGACTTTTGGTGTAGCATGCCCAAGCTTCTCTTGGGTCAGATCTTACTTTGATGACAAACCTGTTGTCGAATGACAGGAACTTCATTATCATATGAGGGTTGATACAATTGCTCCCAGCTGATTAAGTGTTTGTCTGATTAATATATTGTACAACATGTTCTCTTCCACCAAGATGTATCTCACTGATATGTTGCGTTGAGTTGTTGATTCTAAGGTGGTCAAGAAGTCGATGTATCCTTGAGTGTGAATTTGTTCTCCCGAAAAACCAAGTAATGGGTTTAGGTAAGGACGTATCAAATCATGTGATAGCCTAACTTCAAGAATGTTAACTAGTATAACACATCAACCGAGTTGTCTTGGTTTATCAATGTTTTCTTGACTTCATAACTAGCGATAAGGATTGTGATAACAACCATATCATCATGAGTTGTGCCATATCCATCTTAATCCTCGTTCAAAAATGTGATAATGGGGAACTCCAATATTTAGGGAGTTGTTTGAACATAGTACACGATACGTAAATATCGTTTTCTTACCAATCTAGTTTATCCTCCCCATATAAATCCTCCGGCAATTGTGTTGATTACCGTCCTTGTTTCAAGGGTGGCCTCTGGTTGGTCAAGTTGTACCAAAACTTGACTTTTCTCCTTAACACTTTATTATTGATAATATCCTTGTTTGTGTTCTCATCTTCCTTAGTAATCTCTATGACCTCATCCATTGTGTGGATAAGCGTATTGGGTTAGCTTCTCGAATTGAATGAGCTTTATTATAATATCTCATAGGTTCGAGCAATCCTCCGTGTTGTGGCTATATTTTTTATGATAGACACATTTTTTTGTTCTATTCGTATAAGATATTGTAAAATGATTGTTAGGGGAGAATTAACAACTCCAAGTTGCATGTTTCCTGCATAATGGCTTCTCAGGAGGCATTCAACGACATATAGTTGTTGTATTGACTCTCCTTATGCGCTTGGTAAAGTGGTTCTTATCGGCCACTTGATCAAGTTCTTCTTCTCTTCTCTTTCGAAGTTTAGTATTTTCCTCCAATTGTATATAGTTTGACACTCATGTCCTTAGCTCTTGTATATCTTTTGACTTGTTCCAGTATAAGCTTTCCAAAATGGCCTCATTTGAAGGTCGGTCATCATAGTGTGTATTGCAATTATTGGCTCCAAGTTTGATATTGTAAGGCTGACGGCGATGAATCTCTCTAGAAATTTGCTAGTGATTCTTTTTTCCCTTATCTAATGCTTTCAAAAGTTTTTGATTCAATCATGTGAGATCGACTTGTGGCAAATCAAGCTCTAAGTTTGTTTGCCAAATGTCGAAGCAAGCTACCAATCCTTTAATTAGATCGTAGTACCATTGAAGCGCAATATCTTTGAGTGTAGTCGAAAAAATTATACTCTTCAAGAAATCTTTGTTTGAATATACTTTGATATGTGTGAGGTATGCCCGTATATGTTCCTCAAGATCCAAGGTCTCAGTGTAGGAACTGATGGGGGGCATTAGACAATTTTGGGCTAGAGGCTCATAGAGTATTTTGATTATGAAATAGTGTTCATGTTTAGTGTGTGTTTGTTCAATAGTTCGAGTTGATATGACAAACTCATTCTTTTTCTGTTGTCCTTGAGTTTTCATGTTCTCTCCTAGTATTAGTTTTTGTTGCTCGAAGTGAGATTGAGATTTTGCGATGGTTACTACTTCGTTCTTGTTCGGGGATGTTCACCGAGTTCTTTAGTGATTTCTTTGAGTTGATTGTGCAAGACTTTCAACTCTTCTTAGTATTGTTTTTGGTCTTGTGTAACTTTCTTTATTTTGAAGTGCTATGAGGGTGACTCTCATCTTCACGTTTTTCTATTGTTACAATTCTGCTATATGTGCTTTGAGACTATTAATGAGGGCAGTTGACTCCATTGTTGTAGAAAAAAAGTTGGTTATATCATCTAGACTCTAAGTGGTAATGTGAGAGAAGTTTTACTTAGCCTCGTAGTGTCAAATGTTGTTACTTGGATTATGTGGGACAATCAAATTCTCTATAGTCCTTTCTGAATATGTTGTGAGAAGGGGAAAGGTTCTACTATACTTAAGTAAGTAACAATAAGTGAAATAAATATTAAGACTATAATCACCCAAAAATTATCATATATTTCATTTTTATTTTATTGGATATAATATCAATTATCTTGATAATTTGGAGGATCTCGGATAATACTAAAATACATATCTAAATATCTAGATCATTTGTGTTATGTCTCTATTCATAAGACACATAATAGGTACAAAAATTAACCTATTTTAATAAATTAGTTACTTAATCCTCCATCGATTCTACCCAGAGATACATGGATTATAAAAGGTACATGTAGGACTCAAACTGATGACTTTCCGCGTGTTTAATGAGTGAAAAAATAAGTTTTGGTGGGTTATCTAAATTGTTGCTCCAATTTATCAAAAAAAATAGATTTTATTTAGATTGAATTTGAACAGTTTTTTAATGAAATTTAAACTAAACCAATCTAATAATAAAATATTGGTTACAACAGTTAAAAACTATTTGATGAAAATGATTTTCCAAAACACCAATGAAAGCTAGTTAGAAAATCAAATACATGATGATTGGTGTGGTAGGGTCTTCAAAATTTTGGTGTAGTGAAATATTAGATCCACAGTATTGCAACCTTTTTTATGAAAATGACATTTCTGCTATAAAGGTACGATTTCACGTTAGTTTATCCACAACAAAACAAGAGAGATGTCATGTCACATTCAAGGATTCGGTGTTGCTACTTTACACAAGTAGGATTCACGCCATGGTTTCTCATGCTTTATTGTTTCATGAATGTTCTGTTTTTATGTACCTCGATCAACTAAGAACAAATATCTTGAGATGTTGAAGTTTGTTTAAGCATATCTTCTGACAAATTTTTTATCATACACAATATACTACACAAATAATAAGACTAACTTTTGTAGTAAAAATCAATAAAACAATGAAAGTTGGATGAAGATTCCTTAATAACTGAATGCAAATGAAACACCATGAATATTCTCACTTTACGAAGATTCGTCTTGACAAAGTGTATGACAAAGGAGAAAGTTGAATCATCTGTGCTTACAACATGCTGTCTGATCTAGCAGGCAACCTCCTGAAGAAGTTGAGTGGGACCGATGGAAATCTCCTGCGGAATCTGGGGTGCCTTAGCATATAGAAGCCAATGAGAAGGGACACTACCTGAAAGGGAGTAACATAGAGAACTATAGCAGCAATGAAACAGAATGTCACGAAGAGTGTAGTAGCCCTTGGATCTCTCCAGCTTAGCAGACTTTGGAACCTTTCTCCTTGTGTACCTAAGTCTCCTACAACACTTTGGACTCTCCCTGCAATGCTTCTTAAACGATCATATCTCATCCTAACTATATCTGGTGACCTCGAAGTTGGGAATGAATCAAACTCTTCATCTAATTCATCAGGATGAGCAGCATCAGCATGAGACAGTCTAGTGTCCATGTGTGGAGGGTGTCTAGGCCTCCATCTGAAGTTCCAGATTCCAATCAAGAATAGATACAAAAAGATTGTGGGAAGTATTAGCTCAGGATAAAGAGCCAGTATTATGAAGAGGACATGAATTAGTACGGTGGTGATGGGGTTTTTCCAATTGCATATCTGATCAAACCACCTCCCAAAGGCTATCAAACCACCTAGAACTTTCATAATCCTGAAGAAATTAGCTTTGCTCCTCCTCATACTCCACATATGTGAGTCCACATCAAGCATGTATTCTACAACCTCTTTCCTTAGGGGTGGCTCAGCTCTGTTCAACCTCATGGATACAATCTGCATGGCCTGATGCCTCAGACTGTCCAGCTGAACCACCGATAGAGGATGGATGTAGTGCATCTTTGGCAACAAAGGCTGGGAATACATGTACAAAATATTGATGAAAGATGAGCTTGTGAACCTCACAGCCAATTGCACTTCTCCTGTTTTCTTCAAACCTGAAGTATGAAGTACTAAAAGGGGATATGAATGTGTGTAAACTCTATCAGCTTCAAGCGTGGATAGCCTAATTCTCACCTTCCCTATCCTAGAATCCTTTGATTCACTAGCTTTATCTCCTCCTCCTTGTACACGACCATTGTCAAAGACTCCTATGGTAATAACAGTGCATGGATCAAACACTTCCCAAGTGTACTGCTCATTCCACTTTGGAGTGAAGCTATCTACAATAGTCCTGGTGCGGATCCACTTCTGCCCATATTTTGCCACACAATAAGCATCTGTGGTTCCTCTACCATCTCTTGTCTTCATTGGCATAAGCCCTAGAGCACTTATAATCCCGACTTCTAGAATTCCAATGCTAGGCTTCCATAGCTGCTTAGCAGTTGGTCTAAGATCACTACTGTAGTGAGTTGACTCATCCAACACATGGAACCCACCATCCAAGCACACCCTCAAATGTATCTTGCTTGCAAATTTGATCTCCTTCTCCCCTTCAACAACCACATGCTTCTCAAGATTAAACCACCTGGTGTTCACAGGCTTATGATCCAGCCTCCGTTGGACAATCTGCAAAGGGATCACACACCTTCCCAGGATCTCATCTTTGTTTGGTCCAAGCCTGTCTTCCACGGTCAGAATCAGGGGCTCCTCAAACGGCTCCGCAGCAACCAACATCAAATCCTCATTCCACATAGGATTTATGGTTTTACTTTGAGACACTCTAGTTCTCAAAAACTGGCTCCCCAGATTAACCTTCACAAAAACTTCAGGATACCGGCTCTTGTCACTTGGAATCAAGTCCTGCGCTTCAATCACATTGACCCTGACATACCAAAGCTTGGGAGAGAGGTAAACTTTTGACCTTATGTTTGCAACTGCTTCAGAGCCAACCATTGCTGCATCAGAGTGCCATGAATCAGGAAATGCCTCATCTGCTTGAGTCCCCATCCAAACTGCAAGCATCAACTCTCCTTTGGCCTTTACACCCTTGCGATCTTCCAGTCTGTACCATTGTGGAGCCAAAGGACTGTCTGGGGGAACACGTTTTGGGATCTCATTCAGATCAAACCACACCCTCCCCACAAAGTCATCTGAAATAACATCCTTATCTTTGACAATAACCTCCAACGCTGAGGCTTGAATCCGATCTTTTGAGAAGGCAAAGACCTGATTCCACTCAGGGTTGGACTTCTTCTCAAAATGCTTGGTGAGTCCCTTGTAGTTTCCAAGCCTCACTTCAACATAGGGATCAAGACTTCCAGTGACATCTTTTGCAGGTAAGTCCATGGCTTTGACCACGCGAACGTAGAGGTACTGCATCTGTTCAACAAGGTCATAGGTGCATGATAGCTTGTCCCTTGTGATTGCCCCTGCCCCAATGTTGGGAGAGGTCTCCTTCAAGGCAAACTCATGGGAATGTGCAAGTGGTGCCCTCTTCATTTTCTTCTCTAAAGAGAGTTAACAGTTAACTGCATCAATTTGAAACAAAACATGGAAATTATGAGCAAATTATTCAATCTTTTTTCAATGACCAGATCTTGCTCAAGCAGAACATCACAGAATATGAAACTATAGAGAGGCACAAATAAACAGCAAGCTAAGTACTTCAAGTAAAGCAAAGCCAAAGAAAGAAACGGCCATTCATTCACCTGCTTCAACTACACAAACCGAACACAATTTGAAAATGAAAATGGAATGAAAAAGCGTTGCATGCGTTATTTGAAGTTCTCGCATACCTCAAATGTAACTGGGTGTGGGTGGCTTCCTTCCTGAAGATGAAAGCACTGAGCAGCAGCATTGAAGTCTGAACCATTACATAGAAAAGTACACCAAAATGTTACATGTATCTAACACACGTAGACACACACATATGACACATCGAACATGTCTAATAAGACTACAACCATTAATCTGACCTGTATGACGTGGATACTTCAAATTATTTTAATTAAATCTAACAAAATTGTAAAGTTGAATTGTATGATAAATAATAATGAATAATAACCTGCGTATAAATTTTGCAATGGAGACTAAAATGAAAAGTAATATCAGTATGAGACTACATTTTTAGTTTAAGCAACTTTAAAACATGAGCCTGGGTGGCACGTGGGAAGATTCTGGTCGGTTGTGGCACTCTGGAGAATGTTTTTCTTTTGAGAGAGGGACAAAAATTATAAACATGATTAGATTTGAAATTTGAAATCAGTAATGTATAATAGAGCAACGCCTCAACCTCAAGTAATAAATTACATTCAAATCACATTTTAAAAAAACATAGATATTATAGATGATATGGTAAAAAGAAGAAAATAATTGCAAATATTAAAAAAAAGGATATTTATATATCAGAAATTACATTTAAAGAAAGAAAAAAATTGTAGATATTATAATACAGAGCAATAAAGAAAATTGTAAATACTATTAAACATTTTAAAATAAAGATATCTATATAACGTAAATAATATCTTTCAATGAATTATATATACTGTAGTTTATTACACGTATTATTAAGATAATTTTAAATCAAACAGTATTTATAATACTAGGTGCAAGTTTTTTTTTTAAAATAAAAAATATATATTGGTGTCGATAAAGAAATTAATAGCAGGTCAAATTGGGCTAAAGCAAAAATTGTTCCATCCAATAAACGCGATAATATAATTCAGGCAAACTCATTTTTACTTTTCTAAATGCGAAATAAATGAATAATCTGAAGTTTATTCCTTAACATGGTAGTTAACGTGAATTATAAATATTTTATCGTTTATTTATTTATTATTTTGATGAACTCTTAAATAATATTAAATTCTCGATAATAAAATATTAAGTATTTCATCTTCTTTTGCAGGGATAGGTGACAATGCAATTTTGCATTACAAGGCATGTCAGATTGGTTTGCTTTTTCATAGTAAATAGTATTAAAAAAGGTTGTTGAAATATAAATATTAATATTGATAAATACGGGTGTATATATAAAAATTATTATGTCTTTAATAGATATATTTTTAAATAAAAATATATCTCAATTTTATATTATATATTTCTAATTTTTTAAATCAGTCACATCGAATATTTGTTCGTGATTAAATAAAATAATTTAAATTATCTATAATCATATAGTTCAAACCGTTTGTAGTTAAAATGAATTAAATCTGAATTGACAATTTATTTATTATCATTTTTTTTTACAAGAACGTCATTTTTATGTGAATATAATATAAGATCCTTTAATAGATTTATAATAAATTTTGATATTATCTTCAAATTTATATATTACTTTTTTTTTAAATTATATCTCCACACATTTGAGTTATTTCCAATAATTTGCTTATTGCGCACAAAATCCATATAATGTGATGCCAACGTTTATATATAACAAGTCATCTTTCGCAAACATTAAATCTACAACTTTTTTAATAAAAAATATAAAAACTTAAATTTAAATTTTTATTATTATTATAATATCAATAAAAAGAGTTATTGATAAGTTGTTTTTCTGGGAAAGATTATGAATCTGGTATTTCCCATGTTAATATGTTAACTTTGTTGAGAATGTGGTCCAGCTGTAAGTACTGCTACAAATCTTGGTTTGTGTTTTGTTTGTTTGTGTTAAGAGAACAAAAGAGAAACAACAAAACAATAAAGTGAGGTCGGTGCTGCATGTGTCAACAATGCAGAGACCAACGTTCATTGGTGATGGTTGAAGGTGATGGTGGCATCATCTCTGTGTCTCTGCCCTCTCTTTTTCTGTTCCGGAAAAGGTTCAAGATGGTTATGGCAGTCTACATTATTGCCTGCAACTTTATCTGTAGTATCGGTGTACATAGCTATGATTTGAAGATGAATGAAGTTTAGAGTTTTATTCAAAATTACTTAAAATTTCAATTATATCTTAGACTAGAAGATTTAATTTTGACTTAAATCATATAAATAGAAGAAGATGATAGGAGTTATTTTATTAGATACGTGTTTAATAAGAAACTAAAATTATATTTCAATCTTAGATATTATCATGTGTGTGTTTGAATCAACATATAATTATTATAATAGGGCATTTAACATATGTTTCCACACATTGTTTTTTTAAAAGTCATTTAGATAACATTTTTTTAAAATAAATAGCTTACCTATTTGTTTTTGTTGTATTTATAAATGTGATAATTGTTTGATAGTTGAGTTTTAGAACCTTATACGAATATTTTATTTTTTATTTTCACTGACATTCTTGTCTTACCTTTTTTATAAATGAGAATCTGCACGCATTGTAGTAACACAAATTACAATGTACCCAGACTTTAGGGCACCCTGTGCTCATTATTTTTTTACTTAATTTATCTTACAAAATTTTATAGATATTGAAATTTAATCAAATATTACTTAAAAAAGGTTTAAATTTATTCTATAAATAGCTATACCATGTCAAATGGATCAATGATATAATTATATTTTCGTAATTTTATGATATCATTATATTACTAGAGGCTTTTATGAATGGAAGTCCATCGAGCCCAATCTAGCCCAGCATTGCACATGGGCTGGATACTAGAAATTAGTTGGGCCCAACCTAAAGATAAGTTACGACTTTTTCTTCTTTCAACCCTATATTTATCTAAAATAATTATTATTGTGCCAAAGTTATGGGTATAATCTTAGGGATTTGTTTGATTTAATTTTGTATTTTAGATTTTAAAAAAGTTTTAAAATAAATTAAAAATATATATTATTTAGTTGCTATGATTTAAAAATTATTTTAAACATAAAAATATACTGACTGTAAAAAACATCTTCTAAAAATTATTTTATTAATTTTACAATAACATAATGCAACAATAGAAGACGTTAATATCGTTAGTTAAAAAAAGTATATTTTATCAGTTTTAATTTTTAAAATAAAAAATGAAATAATCCATTTTAATAAAAAATTATAAAATAAAAACATTAATTTAAAAAAATTAAAAACTATATTTAAAAATAATAAACAAACACATCCTTACACAATTTAAAAAATGTAAACTTTTAAACTATCATAAATCTCAAAAATACTCTAAATACTGCAAATTCAGATACCAATAATAGATTAAAAATAAAATTTATAAATTAATTATTGTCCATTATATAAAATTTGACAATAAAAAAATATTTATTTAATTTAGATTTGACCAAAATCCAGCAAAAATTTTGGCTTACCCCACTGCGAAAAAGATGTCTTTGAAATCTAAGCCATGCAAGTTTGTTTTCCTCTATCCAATATCCTGACATTTGAGCACATTACAAAATTTGTAACATCTTACAAATCGTTATTATAATGATGTCTTCGCAAAATAATAAATAATAATATCTATTTTATATTATATTAATGTAATTGTAACATAGATTGAAATTCGGTTCACTAACGTAACTTCAAAATATAGTAACATAATTTATTTATATATTATACATGTAAAAGTAGCTCTCTCGAAACTATCTCACTGACCTATCTCTGTTGTCCAGTAGTCACATCTCCATCTCTCAACTCCTGATCTACTCCCACATAAAAGTGATCATCGCAATCCTATCCACATGAAAAAATAGGGGTAAGTATTAAATCATTCGATATAATAAAACAGATATAGAAGTAATAATTATATATTATGATCAATTACGAAATTGTCAACACACTAAGACACCTTCCGGAAGTATACCCTAACTATGCCCGAACTCAGAGGCTATCATCTGTGGACACATTGTGATCGGTACTCGCAGTACCATTCTGACCACCCTCCACACAGAGTAGGATTACTAGCACCCTTCATCACTCATACTGGAGTACCCCTCCGAGTGCGACACCAGTCATCCCCCCATCGACTTCTCACCACCTGATCTCGTAGTCTACCTGACCCGACCAATCAGTGAAGTCTGGGACCTCATTCAGAATCCTCCGACATATTTATTACACTAATGTATTTTGTACCACCCCAGATACCATTCAAACATAACAAAAATTATTCACATTTGCCGGATTCTGGACCACTTGTCCTTAAGGCTCATTCGGGTCAATAAAAATAGTATTTGACTGATTCTGACATCAACCCTCCAGCTCAGTCTAGCCAATATATAACGTCTCAGGACTGATTCTGGGCATCAGCCCTCAGGCTCAGTCTGACCCACACACGTCACAACACACTACTTTCATTCTCTCTCTCTCTCTTTATATATATATTTTTCTAAAATCATTTCCGAAATCATTTCCAAAATCATTTCCGAAACTATTTTCGAAACTATTTTCGAAATCATTTCCGAAATCATTAATTTACTATTTTACCCTTAATCTTTTCTTAAAATTTCATGTATGTCCCTAAATGACTATTTTGCCCTTGGACATTTTCAAAAATTCCATTTATGTCCCTAAGATGTAAAATGACTAGTTTACCCTTGAACATTTTCAAAAATTCCTTTCATAT